CCAGTCACCCTGCACAAGGAGAGAGAGCAGCAATGACCGGTCTTTATTACAGGAGGGGGCCGAGATAAGACCAGTCACCCTGCATACGGAGAGAGAGAGCAGCAATGACCGGTCTTTATTACAGGGGCGGGCGGAGATAAGACCAGTCACCCTGCACACGGAGAGAGAGCAACAGTGACCGGTCTTTATTACAGGAGGGGGCGGAGACAAGACCAGTCACCCTGCACAAGGAGAGAGAGCAGCAATGACCGGTCTTTATTACAGGAGGGGGCGGAGACAAGACCAGTCACCCTGCACAAGGAGAGAGAGCAGCAATGACCGGGCTTTATTACAGGAGGGGGCCGAGATAAGACCAGTCACCCTGCATACGGAGAGAGAGAGCAGCAATGACCGGTCTTTATTACAGGAGGGGGCGGAGACAAGACCAGTCACCCTGCACAAGGAGAGAGAGCAGCAATGACCGGGCTTTATTACAGGAGGGGGCCGAGATAAGACCAGTCACCCTGCATACGGAGAGAGAGAGCAGCAATGACCGGTCTTTATTACAGGAGGGGGCGGAGACAAGACCAGTCACCCTGCACAAGGAGAGAGAGCAGCAATGACCGGGCTTTATTACAGGAGGGGGCCGAGATAAGACCAGTCACCCTGCATACGGAGAGAGAGAGCAGCAATGACCGGTCTTTATTACAGGAGGGGGCGGAGACAAGACCAGTCACCCTGCACAAGGAGAGAGAGCAGCAATGACCGGGCTTTATTACAGGAGGGGGCCGAGATAAGACCAGTCACCCTGCATACGGAGAGAGAGAGCAGCAATGACCGGTCTTTATTACAGGAGGGGGCGGAGACAAGACCAGTCACCCTGCACAAGGAGAGAGAGCAGCAATGACCGGGCTTTATTACAGGAGGGGGCCGAGATAAGACCAGTCACCCTGCATACGGAGAGAGAGAGCAGCAATGACCGGTCTTTATTACAGGAGGGGGCGGAGACAAGACCAGTCACCCTGCACAAGGAGAGAGAGCAGCAATGACCGGGCTTTATTACAGGAGGGGGCCGAGATAAGACCAGTCACCCTGCATACGGAGAGAGAGAGCAGCAATGACCGGTCTTTATTACAGGAGGGGGCGGAGACAAGACCAGTCACGCTGCACAAGGAGAGAGAGCAGCAGCGACCGGTCTCTATTACAGGAGGGGGCGGAGATTCTGGAAGAACACACAGGACTCTTGTATATAGATAATATTTGTATATTCTGGAGTTCGTACTCCGGAGCTGGAAGACGCCGTGAGGCTGAATAATCAGTGTAAAGCTGGGTGAATGCCATTCACACTCCACTAGATGGCGCTGAGGAGCATGATAAATTCCTATGCTCCTCAGCGCCATCTAGTGGTGGAAGAGCTGTATGAACGGCACTCACCCGGCCGTACGCTGGGTGAAAGATTTATAAATCAGCCCCCATTGTGTTGAGGTGGACTCTCCATTTGGACAGAAGTACAGACAATGACAATATTAAAATAGAAGACTGACCCCCCCTCCCCTGCCCCCCCCCTCAACTGTTATTGGTTTTTTTTGAGCGGATGCACGCCCGGGTGTCCCTTTCACTGGCAGACGCACGCCTTGGGTTCATTTTTGTTATCTCTGCGTGTTGGCAGCTATCTAGCTAATCAGATACGGGGAAAAGGTTTGTTCGCTTTCCTGCCTTTGTTTCACCTCGGAGTGAACTGTTTATTATTAATGAGGATCAGGGAACATGAGTCCGCTGTGTGTGTGTTCCCCTCTGTGCTGGGAACAGGGAAAGTCGTGGCCGGCTCTGCCCTCAGGGGGGAATCCACCCTCCGTGACGTCACGCACAGTATTTATATTTTATTTGGACTCCTCTCCGGTCAGTAGAGCCCAGAGCAGAGGCTGGAGAGAGGAGGGACGCCGCCATGCAGAAGCCAGATGTGAGTAACGCAAAGGGGGGGGGGTCAGCTTGTGGCTTGCGGGTCAGAGAGCGCAGGGGTGGAGGTGCCTTTGCACTGGAGATAAGGGGTGGGGAGCCTGGTGTGAGGGTTTTAGGAAATGTGTGACAGATAAGGTACGAGGCGCGGTGACACAGTTCTTGAAGTACCAACGTTCACTTCATCGCCGCCATTAAAACACGCTGTGATCACTTCCTCTAAGCCCCTGAGGGCTCCATAAAACCCGGTGCGCCGAGCTGCGTCCATCGAACCCAGGCTGTGTGAAGGACTCCAGGAGAGGTGCTGTGTGACAGTGCTGGGAGGGCAGTTATAAGGTGCAGTGTGACAGTGCTGGGAGGGCAGTTATAAGGTGCAGTGTGACCGTGTTGGGAGGGCAGTTATAAGGTGCAGTGTGACCGTGCTGGCAAGACAGTTGTAAGGTGCAGTGTGATAGGGCTGGGAGGGCAGTTATAAGGTGCAGTGTGACAGTGCTGGGAGGGCAGTTGTAAGGTGCAGTGTGACAGTGCTGGGAGGGCAGCTATAAGGTGCAGTGTGACCGTGCTGGGAGGGCAGTTATAAGGTGCAGTGTGACTGTGCTGGTAGGGCAGTTGTAAGGTGCAGTGTGGCAGTGCTGGGAGGGCAGTTATAAGGGGAAGTGTGACCGTGCTGGGAGGGCAGTTATAAGGGGAAGTGTGACCGTGCTGGGGGGGCAGTTATAAGGTGCAGTGTGACCGTGCTGGGAGGGCAGTTATAAGGTGCAGTGTGACAGTGCTGGGAGGGCAGTTACGAGGTGCAGTGTGGCAGTGCTGGGAGAGCAGTTATAAGGTGCAGTGTGAAAGGCATTTTGCAGTCATAGAGCAGCTCAGCAGACCAGTAACAATCAGACTATGTGGCTGGAGTCCGGCCAGACAATGCTGCAGAAGTCATCACTCCCCAGTTCCTGAGTACACAGATGCACTGCCAACTCTCCTTATGTCTGAATCTCAGAGATTCCTTCCAAGTGCAGAAACATCAACACTGGAGCAGGGAGACAAGA